CACACACACACACACACACACACACAATTTAAAAAAAAGATTTTTTTTTTTTAAAAAAAGAAACAAAACAAGGGCCTAGAAGATAGCTCAGTGGAATAAGTGCTTGCCTGCCAAGTGCAAAGTCCTGAGTTCATTCCATGGTAACACCAAAAAAAAGAAAAAAAAAAGAAAAAAAGAAAAAGAAAAGATAATGATTAATTAATTAAAAATTTTAAAAAAGAAGCAGAACAGCAGAGCCAAGGGTAGCATTGCCCAGCACAGCCCCTGCCTGCCTCTTCCTCCACACACCTGGCACTGTCTGGCTTGCGGACTGCCCCAGGGAAAGTCAGCCGAACCTCCTTCTGGCTCTGAGAAGACAAGGTCTCCTCCATGACATGGGTGTTCCCTGGCACACAGCCTGTGCCCACACTTTGGTGTCCCTGGGTCCTGCCTCCTAATAGCACACCTGCTGGGCCAGGGTGTGACCAGCTCCTGGCTGCCAGGCAGAGCGTGAGTCACACTTCCCGGGAGTGTGGGTGCCTCGGTTGCGAAGTCAGCACCCTGCACTTGGCTCTGGCTCTGGACCTGGGGCCAAGGAAACAAGTACGGGCCCCCCTCAGGTACAAAGGTCCCTGGGCAGTGTGCCAGCCAGGTCTGAGCCCGGGGACAGCATCTTCAGAGGAGGAGCCAGGCAAGAGAGCCCCAGAGGCAGGGCTGGGGACTAGGGCTCTAGAATGGAAGAGAGGACAGAACCCAGGCAAAGCACCATGCACATTCATTACTGCCTGTCCATGCCTGCGGGGTCCATGAGGCCCCTTGTGAACTGTGCCTGGTGCTTGTCATTAGCTGATCGTTTTTTCTGTCAGTAAGTAACCCTACTAGAGGATATTTTCTTAAGGGGAGCCAACATAGTTGTCCAGGGGTAACTAGCAGAGTGTAAAGGCAGGATGTCCCAAAAGTGTCAAGCAGTTTTTAGCCTTAGACTGTGGTGCTTGGCACTGTGGCAGGTATCAAGACTGCCAACTTCTATAGAACACCATTTGATGTAGAGAGCCTATATCGCGAATCGCGGCATCAGAACCAAATCCCTAGAGACCACTGGGTGAGGCCTGCTGCAACCCTCGGAGCCTGCGCTAGATTACCCCTCCCATCGAGCATGCTAAGATGGCGCTCATTTCCTGCTTCCGCGTTTGCTGTACACCCCATCTATGATGA